CTTTAAATACACTTAAAACTGAGAAAATATTACAATTTCGGGAACAAAAAATTCTCGACGTGCGTCATTCCAGCGCAAGAGGTTATTCAGATAAAATTAAATGAACAGAAGAAGCAACAACGGACGATATAAATAATAATTCGGGAATTAAATTTTGAAACCGATCATTTGACCGGTCGTGATACGGTTAGCGTTAAATGGAATATCGATGTATTTAAACTCTACAGTTTATCCGATCAGATACGATTGCACGCTGCAGCTGAAATTGCATATAATCGAACGGTGGGCGTAAGTTGCGCTATCTACATGTACATTGAGTACAAGGGAACGAAAACGAACGCCCGTCATCTCTTTCGGATGATCTCGGGCCTTTGATTCGTCCGACGTTTAAAAATTTTCACGCACCAAGGACAAATTGATTTTCACCGACTGACATTGTCAAGAAACAGATTTTTTTTTTTTTTTTTTGTTTTGTTACGAGCGTGATGGAGTGTTACCTGCGCGTGACGCGTCCGAATGCGAGTTTCAAAAACAAAAGTCGCCTCGAATTATGAATCGCACCAAAGTCATTCCCGATTAAAGTGAAACGAATATCCATCGTTGACGTATAATCGGTGATCTGTCGTTAAATTTATCTCGATAACGTGCGTCGACGCGGAAAAATAAATAAAAAAAGAAAAGAGCACTCTCTGACGCTTTGACGTTTTTCTTCAACCCAATTCGATCTCTACTGATTTTCCTCTAAACTGTTGAACGCTACTTTCCTATTAAGTTCCATCGTTCCACGTACGCTTGCATCTCATTCTTCGAACACTCTTTCTTCCCTAATTGGAGTTCTACGAGTCGTAAGTAAGCCACGAGGTTAAACAGCCTCGGACAAATCCTCGTTCGGTTGCACGCTTCTGTTCTTAAAGGGAAACGGCTAATTCTCGTCAAGTTTGGTCGATTTGGTAAAACTGCGAAACGACGATGTACGTACGAACATAACAGGAATCGAACGATCACGCTGAAAGTGTGACTTGCTCTAGAGGCTGCATCTATTAGCAGAGCAGAGATTTCGTGAGTCATCGTAACCTATTTTTTTTGACGCCGCAACGTCACTCGAATCGTGCATACTGTATTTCCAATGTTAGCTACGAACGAGAATCAATCTTCCGAGCCAAGAGATACTTTTTTGAGAATTTCCCATCAGAAGGAATTGCTATATTCCGTAAGAAATGATTCGTTCACGGAGGAATTAGAAGAGGAATTGTTCGTCGAGCAAGAAGGAAGGCTGAGACGAGATTCGATTTGTTTTGTTAAAACACGCACTGCCGATAATCTCTGTTTGTTGAAATTCGCCGCCGCTCGTACCTGCCTCTTCATCAAATTATCGGTCTCATTATGCAACACGAAATCTGATGATACATCGAAACAACTCGTTTCGACGTGATCAAATCGTATACTAATTTACGGATCGTGCATATTCTAACTGATTGTACAGAGAAAGAATGGATCACTCCGGACAGAAATAAAGTGAAATTTTTTTAAAAAATTCTCCATTGCCTCGTGTAATCGAATTTTCATCGATCCGTCATTGGATTTAAACGTTTCGCCGTGAATATTCATTTCGAGCCAATTAAACACGCTGTGATATATATTCACGTCGATAAAAAGAAATAATAAATTAATTACGGGTTAGGCTACCCGTGTATTTTATGTCGCAGTTGGCTGTCGCTTAACCCACTCTTCTCGTATCTATTTACTATCTGAGTTGCATCTACTGCTTGACGAGCGTTGGTATCTCGAATAAGTAGCTTCCTACAAAGCAACAAAGAAAGTAACTCGCGGCCAGTGAAGGCGTGGCAAGACTCGCGAAGCCGTTGAGTCATGTATAATTGTAGCCATACGTGAATATATAATGCATACATACCAACAAAGGTATTCACCGTGCTGAGAAAACTGTTCTGTCACTTTGCTCGCGCACGATCAGAATTCATGAATTGATTTAATCAGTTAGACGTTGACGTCTATGCTCGATAGATTTTTTTTTTCCTCTCTAAGTTTTAGTTGCTTTTAGTTCCAACTAAAAAGAGGTAGGCTTCTTCTATTCATCGACGTGGCAAGCGAATCGTGAAGTTTCGCACACAGCTTCTCTCTGATCCGTTATGCCTTCTAACAGTAAACTCCCTTTTGATATATCGAGCAGATGAATTATGTTCTCTGTGATCATGCTGCTCATTTTCCTGATCATCCTACTTGAATGACGGATAGATATTTCGAGACAATGTGATTATTCAATTACGTTCGATACAATGAACAACATTGTTGTGAAAATTAATTAACAATGAAATTGTGATTATTAATTATTAATTTATTGTTGTTGAATTGTGACTCCATTCTGTGTCGTTTTGACTTTTAGAACCGTGACAAATAAGACCCGACGAACGTGTAAGAAATCTTCCTCCGAGAGTTGGTTTCTCTCTCTCTCTCTCTCTCTCTCTCTCTTTGCGGAGAAGAGACTTCAATGCCTGCACAGTCAGAACAGAACGTCTTTCTATCGATTCATCGTTGAGGCTCAGGTCTGCGAAACCAGAGACACGTCACCTTATTCGCCTCGTGCGTCTCGTCGCAAGGAAGTTACTTCCGGTTGTTCTCCGCGTTGCCTCACGAATTTCTACTTATACGGCAGTATCGGGCTAACGTTCGTTTCAACGTATCCGGTAATTGAATTATAGAACTTCTTTTATTTAGAAGTCGAACGGTGAAACGACATTATAACTTGTAGATTTTTATTTTTCATTGTTTAATTTCTCAATTTTTATTCTCCCTTTTTTTGTTAATTAACCGAAAGTATAAGTTAATATAGTAATTCCCTGTCATTGGTAATAATTAGTTTCTCTATTAGGAATCTTCCTACAATAATAGTAATAATAATAATATTCAGACAGAGATAGGATTGACTATATTTTACAGTAAGATAAATATAGATAAAATAACATATCTTAATAAGGAACGACTATGATTGTAGAAAATTCTTTTATTTTCAAGTTTTCAATCTTTATTTTCTCTTTTTTGTTAATTCTTTATTAACCGAAAGTATAAATTCATATAAATACTAGTATACTAGTTCCTATCACTGATAATAATTAATTTCTGAATTAGGAATCTTCCTACAGTAATAATATTCAGACAGAGATATTAATAATAATAATAATAATAATAATAATAATAATAATATTCAGATAGAAATAGGATTGATTATACTTTAAATAAATATAAATATTATATATATATATATTTATAAATATTATACTTTAGATAAATATAAATATATATAAAATAACATTCCTAATAACTATAATTATAGAAGATAATTTTATTTTTAAGTTTTCAATCTTTACGTTCCCTTTTTTGTTAATGCATCTTTATTAGCCAAAAGTAAAAATTAATATAATTACTAATAATTTACTATCACTGGTAATAATTAATTTCTGAATTAATATTTCTGAGGAATCTTCCAATAGTAATAATAATAATAATAATAATAATAACAATAATAATTATATTTAGACAGAGACAGGATTGACTATACCTTTCACGATTTTTCTCTATGTTCTCAAGCCTACATCGCCGGAGTTCACATTACGGTTCCCCACATTATTCCGTCTAACAAAGACACACGCAAGCCACAACTGTCTTTCATGTGCGTACTTCATATGCCAATCACGCAAACTCGTGAGTTCCTTTCATGTATTCATTCTCGAATGTGTCGCGTGCGCTCATGCGAGAGGATCGTGGAAAACCTCTAGGAAACGGCACGATACGAATCTTAATTAAAGATATCTTATTGTTGCTTCCTTACGTTCAAGCGTGGATAATTTTTTTACGATTTAATTGCCACTTTTGTACATTTTCTTTTTCTTTTTTTTCACCTGCGCTTAGGTAAAAAAAAGGAAAAAAAAAGAAAAAAAGAAAAATGGGTTTCTCTTCTCATCTGAAAGTTATCTTTTGCGACGACGTGACGTCCAGAGTTCGATAACAAATATTACATTATGACAATTAGCGATTTCGTGTGAGGTATCAGATCTGTTAAACCAAGAAACAATAATTCGTCGGAAATAAATGTTAAGTTTTTATAAAAAAATACATATAGGGAACAGCATGCAGCGTAGTATTTTTACCAATCGAAATACACGTTGAAACTAATTTCAATTTGTTGATTCAGATAATTTCTACGCTTATTACCCGCCATCTTTCCTGTTACTCAGCCAATTTCGTTGATAACGTTTTATTTAGATTTTCTTTTTTTTTTTTTTGTTAAATATAACATACGATGCCTCGTAATCTTTGTAATTAGCTATAGCATAAGAATCGTTACGGCCACGTTATAAATTATTTATGATTTCTTTATGATCGTGTACGTAAGCACATTACATCCTCTTTCCATTTCTACAGACTCTCTCACAATTTGTTCTCCACTTCGATACATAGCCACTTCTGCCTTCTTTTCCCATTATTACTCGTTCGAAGAACATTCATTCTTGTATTTTCTCCTCCATTTTGTACTCGATACACTCGAATTATTTCAAAGTGTCGGACGGACGAGGTCAGGAACGCGACGTTAATCTTAAATTCTGTCGAATTTTCCGATGATTTTAATACTTGCGAGGAAAAAACTTTTTAATTCAAAAGCTCAGTCAATTTACTTGGCGTTAGTCTGGTCAAGTGTATTTGAATAAATTTAAACAAACGCACCGTTTTACCCAGATATATGAAACACGCCAATTTATAATAATTGTCCGCGTATTTACCTATTTTTAAATTTTACCGTAAATTTATGAAATTTAAATCTTAAATTTTACCGTATTTTACCTATTTTCAAATATTTAACTTAGGTCTTTCTTAATTTAATTTAATTTAGGCCTTTTTTGCGCAATAAATATCAATGTAGAACATAGACGACAACTACGTCGTGGTTGCATTTGATCTCGACGAATTTCCATCAAGGTATAACCGTAATGTTCACCTTAAAACGAGTCTCTCCTATACAACCTTGCGAGGGTGTGCAGATGCATCTCATGCATTATTTATTGGTTACCATCGATCCTGCTGCGAGTGCAGTGGACTTCATCAGCAGTCTTGCTCGAGAAGTCACGGATGTTGTTTCTGTATTTTTTTTTTCTTTTTTTAACACATTACTATAAAGAGAGATATCGAGCAACGAAAAATGTAATTTCTTAATACGTGCGTAATATGAAAGTATTAAATTAGGCTGAACCACCGATACAGGAGAAATGAAATAAAACTAAACTTGGATAAAAGTACGGAGCTTGTTCGACGTCGAGCAATGACTGATTTGAGCGAGTACGATTCAGTAACCTAAATTTAACGTTTCAGTGAACAGAGAAATCAAATCTTTCGTGTACACGCCGATTAGAATCGAATGCGGGCGTGCGATATCTTGCAGAAGATTTCAACCTATCTACCGATGATAACAGAGAAATTGGAACACTCGCGCATTGATCACCGCGATCTTTCCCTTTCCTTTATTTTCGATTGACGATTGCTCCGATTGTTCAAATACTTGACTGACAAGAACTTAAAATTACTAATTTTACTCACTCTCCACTGGAAAGTTATTTCACGCGTGTAACTTTGTACGTTTCCTGATGTTTCAGTACTTACGAGCTTGTTAGTAGTCACCGACGAAGCGCCGCAAGACACCAGACACAAGAACTACGACGAACGCCCGAGAGAAGCGTACTTCAATGGGTCAACGTTCCTCAAATTGAGCTCGTTCGTGTCCGTCCACAGGCACAGCGGTCTCAGTTTCCGAACTTGCGATGGTGGCCGGCTTTTCACCCAGAAATACAACGAGGACTCGATCAGCCTCGAAGTGACCCCGGATGGATTGCTGTTCTCGGCCATTGTCGACCAGCAACGATACAAAGCAAGACTCAACGCCAGATTGCTGAACAATGCCTGGCACAATGTCAATCTCTTTTTCAGACTCGGCAATCTTACGTTGAACGCGGCTGGCCACACGCAGGTAATTAACTTTCAAGTTGAGTTAGTAAGTTGAGGTTATAAGTAAGTTAACCACTTGCGTTGGCAACTGATTGCGGACCGTAACGAGTGACCAAAACCGTATACGACAATTCGTCGCTTTCTTTTTGAACTCGTCGGTATGGTATCACTGGATAGAAATTATTGAGAAGTAATAAATTTATTATTTACTTTGCCTGGTTTATACTTAAATATACTTGAAACTGAGGAAATATTGCAATTTTGGGACGTGGCACGTTATTCCAGCGCAAGAGGCTAACCACTTGCGTTGGCAACTGATTGCGGACCGTAACGAGTGACCAAAACCGTATACGACAATTCGTCGTTTTCTTTTTGAACTCGTCGGTATGATATCACTGGATAGAAATTATTGAGAAGTAATAAATTTATTATTTGCTTTGCCTGGTTTATACTTAAATATACTTGAAACTAAGGAAATATTACAATTTTGGGACGTGCATGGCACGTCATTCCAGCGCAAGAGGTTAAGTCAGCTAAGAAGTTGAGTAAGTTAGTAAGTTAAATTAGCTAATTAATTAATTTTCTTTCAAGACGAAAGATCTTCCTTACTGTAACGACAAACATACTAAATCAATTCGTCTAATTACATTGTCAACTCGTGTTTTGTGTGCTCAAAACGTTGACGATTTTCACTTCTGACATTCAGGCTAATACAGGATATCGTGGAATCTTTCTTCGTTGTGTTCACAATCGTGTTCACTTTATTATAAAAAGAAAAATTACTCTTATTGACATTTAGGTTTCTATCGCAATTTTAGTCGCCATTTACAAAAATTTGATATATCCAGAAATAGAAACCAGATATATTTGAAAAACCTGTTGTGTATTACACATAGGTGATTACTATACAGTTTATCACACCGAGAAAAAATATGTCACACGTATAAAATATAATATATATTTTATATACTTTATAAATAAAGTATATTGAAATTTATTTAGATTGTTTCAACTTTCAATTGCGAAATAGCCGGTGACGTGAGATAGCTTCTGCATAAAATCGCCGATCAACAGTGCATTAATATTTATAAAACTCTCCCGGTAGATCTGAAAAACTGTCAAGCTTCGTTTCGTTGATCCCTCGCGACGATTCTGTTTCAGGTGATTGCTAATGCAACGTATAACGCCGCGATTCTTACACTACCCGATTACGACATGAACGGGTCTCTGATCGTGGGCGAAGGATTCAGAGGATGCATACTCCAAGGTCCTGGTATTCTTTTTAACGATACCATCAATAACGGAGCTGTTTTCGGCCAGTGTCCCGCAGAAAACAAAGGATGTAAGGATTTTGTACGATGTTGTGTCGTCGTTTACAATGTTCGAGATCTGGAAATCTTGCCGTTCATTGTGAGAAGAAAAATATCGACAACGTAGAAATCGACTATCCTAATATGTATTGTAATACATCGCGTGTAATTTCTCGTAGACGAGAGATCAAGTATCTGTAATAATTCTGGCTGTAGAATTTTGAATCACTTTGCGCACACACTTTCACAGAGTGAAGATCACTTGTATACTTTAGTTTCTGGTTTCTCCGTAAGAACTCTCAGATTACACGGATCATGCGAATCCGTGTGATTTGTTTCTTCTTTTTTTTTTTTTTTTCCATACGAAGTAGCAGATTGCATGGCAGATTTTCCTACGAAAACTTTCAGGTGGTACGAGCGCAGGACTTAACGCAGGTGGTGTAGGAACAGGCGCAGTCACCACCATGGATTTCTGCCATCACGAGCCATGCATGATGCATGGTAAATGCGTGTCACGGCAGGATCGTTACGAGTGTCACTGTTACGCCCGATATTCCGGCAACAACTGTCAAATTGACGACGGTAGACATTGACGTCGACTATGGGATATTAGCGCAGAGAGCGAATGATAGAAACAGATCCACGGCCTTGTAGAGATTAATTTTATACATTCTACTCTGACACGTGGATATTTCACAAGGGCCAAATTAACCCCTTTGCGCTGGCAACTGGCTCGCGGACCATAACGAGCGACCGAACCGTATACGATAATTCGTCGCTTTCTTTTCCTTTTGAGCTCGTCGTTTAATAAACTTATCGTTTGTTTTGCCTGGTTTACGTTTCAATATACTTAAAGCTGAAAACAGAAAAGGTTGCAATTTGGGACAAAAAAATTAAATTCTCGTTTCCAGCGCGAGAGATTAAGTTGCTCTTCGATACAAATTCGCGTCCTGTTCTTCTTCTCGCGCCAAAACGCACAAAAATTAAAAGTCAGGAGAAACGAAACGCGTTGAAATGTCAGCGTCACAACTACTCGGCCATGGATCGTCTTTTATTAGCTTTCATCTATAACATTTGCATGAGTCTCTCACCCTCTGTCTGCTTTTTTTTTCTCGATCACATAGGAACACTCGCAATCGATAACGAACGTCTGAACGTTTATAAGAAACGAGTTTGCACGAGTTTCGGTTTCTGCTTCAATATTTCACATCGTCGCGTCGTCGTTGTTTCATTTTGAATAATCGTCAAAAGGGTGAAAATTAACGTGCCCGGGAAGAACTGTGCTAACATTCCTATCTGCTTTTCCAATTGTACATTTTTCAGTTGCCAATCTCGTCGCGTTTCGCGTCTTTCTTACGGGTTCGTTTCGTTTATTTGACAACAGGTGCTTGGATTGCGCGGGAACACACTGGATTTCATGTTCACATTCTATCGCTATAAAAGCGCTGCCGTAGCCGTTCTATGAATTCTAAAGTGTACCTTCTTGGTGTGAAATTTATCAGGTCCGCCGTGTATGAGCAGCCCCTGCCGCAACGGTGGCACGTGTAACGAAGACTCGAAAGGAGATTTTAGCTGTGCGTGCAAGCCAGGCTTCACCGGAATTTACTGTGAATCGCAGCTCGGCGTACGACTTTGCGAGCAAAGCCCGTGCAGAAACGAAGGTGTTTGCATAGCGCTTACCGAGAGCGAGTATAAATGCGAGTGCCTGCCCGGATGGACGGGGAAAAATTGCGAGACCAATATCAACGAGTGCTCGCCGAATCCTTGCATACACGGTGGCGTTTGCATCGACGGTGTTAATAATTACACCTGCATATGCGATAGAACGGGGTACGTTTCTCACTCGCTATCTATACTACTCGATAATTCGAGAAAGAATCATCCCGGTCATTCTCAGACTAAATTTCTTTTCTACATTTCATTATTCTATTTGGAAACAAGTTTTCTATCGATGCTTTGTGTATAGCGTTGAAATAACAGAAATTTCAACTTTTGAAGCTCAGAAAGGAAAGAGCGATGTCTAGTTAGCCAATAAGCTACGATAAGATACGAGAAAAAAAAAGTTACAAGAGCAAACGTAATCACTCGAGTTACCTGTCTAGAGAGTTGAAAAACAATTCGAGCGATAATTCACAATCATTTTCATTGTATTGCAGGTACGAAGGTGCTAACTGCGAGATTGACATCGACGAATGCCTGGCGAATCCCTGTTTGAATAACGGCGTGTGCTACGACAATTACGGCGGCTACATCTGTCACTGCCCGAACGGTTTCGAGGGCCAGAACTGCGAGCTGAACTTGAACGAGTGCCTGTCGAATCCTTGCATGCACGGGGCCGACTGCGTGGACGACGTTGGCTCCTATCACTGTAATTGCCTATCCGGATACGCCGGCCGACACTGCGAGCTCAAGAGTTTATGCGAGAACGCGGCCTGCCCGCCGAACAGCATCTGCGTGGAGGACGCACACGGGCCGCAATGCGTCTGTAACCCCGGATTCATGGGCAATCCCCCGAACTGCACCATCAATTACTGTGCCAGTAACCCGTGTAGCAATGGCGGGACGTGCACAAGCAACAAAGACGGATACAACTGTACTTGTCCACCGGAATGGAAAGGTGAGAGAAAGGGAACATTTCGAGGCTTGTGCGTTATATTCGTCTGTGAAAATAATATAATTGAAAATGATTCGCTGCTGATGCTTTCTTCTGAAACTTATATACTTTTCCTTCATGCAGTTCCTCAAGGGAAAGCGGAACCAGTACGCAGAAATTTATTTCTCATTCGCTAAACATCATATTTTTGACGTTTTTATATACTTTTGATATATTTTATATAAAGTATAAATATATAACTTTTGATATATTTTATATATAGTATAAATATATAATTTTGTTATATAATATTTTTATATATATTTTATATATATAAAATATTAATTTTTGTAATTTTTTATATAAAATATTAGTTTTATATAAAATTTTTTTATATAAAATATCAATTTTTATAATTATATATAAAATAATTTTTTATATAAAATATTAATTTTTATAATTTTTTATATATAAAATGTAATCTTTTATATATACTTTATATATATAAATATATAACTTCTGATATATTTTGTATAAAGTATAAATATATAACTTTTGATATATTTTATATATAGTATAAATATATAATTTTTTATATAATATTTTTATATATATAAAATATTAATTTTTATAATTTTTTATGTATAAAATATAATTTTTTACATAAAATATTAATTTTCATAATTTTTTATATATACTTTACATATATAAATATATAACTTCTGATATATATTGTACAGAGTATAAATATATAACTTTTGATATATATTTCATATATAATATAAATATATAACTTTTTTATATATTTTATATATTTTATACAAAACTAAGAAAGTCGTCATAGATAAAACGTCGTCATGGCTAATGTTTCTCTACGTCTTCATCTACCGTGTGACTAACCCCGTGTTTCGTGTCGTCTTTATTTCCGAACAATCAGGAACCACATGTCTGTCACCCGCTTCCGATTGGTGTTCCGCTTGTTACAACGGGGGCAGCTGCCTCGAGACGCGTTTCGGCATCATGTGCCAGTGTCCGAGATTTTGGACGGGGCCGCAGTGCAAGGATCCGATCACCTGTCGCGATCTACCTTGCAAGCAAGCTTCTGCTTGCCACGATTACGTGAGTGAGACGTTAGCAGATCACTTTGCATGCCGATCAATCAACCGCGTCCCATCGAATATACGTATCGTGTCTCTATGTGGCCTCTTGCTTTGTTTGTTACGCCTCGCTTCGAACAGTCCGGCGGTTATTACTGCACCTGCGAGCCAGGATGGACGGGCCCCGAGTGTTCCATCGACGTGGACGAGTGCTCCAGCGATCCATGCCGCAACGGCGGTATCTGCATCGATCAGCAAAACAGCTACTACTGTCAATGCCTTGCAGGATACACCGGTAATCAGTGCAGTCGATTAGCAAATCTTTTATAATCGTTTAAGCGTTCGAATGCTTCTGCTTCTCAAATTCTGTCCTAGTGTCAACTTGCTTCATCTATCTTTCTATCGTCAAAGACTGGATTTTATCGTTACATATTTACGCGAATTGTTAAAAAAAAATGTACAAATAACAGATATTTCTTATTTCCCATAGTGCTCTGATAGCTGTAACAAATTACCATTACGCGTGGACGATGCAAACACCTGTTACTTGCCTCTGAATGCTTCTGCAAATTGCAAGAACATTTTGCGAAAGTTTTTGTTGAACATTTTCTTTCTTTTTTTTTTTCTTACAAGTTAAAAGAAAAGCTGTTGCACGATCTAACAAAACACGTCTGTCGCCAGGTAAAAACTGCCAGATCAACGTGGACGAGTGCTTGTCACAGCCTTGTCAGAACGGCGGCACCTGCATCGACCGAATCAACGGGTACATATGCAACTGTACGAAGGACTTCATGGATGAAAACTGCGAGCGCGAGTTCAATGCGTGCGCGGTGAATCCCTGCCAGAACAACGGGAACTGCACGCTGATACCGAGGTCACGGCGAGAATTCGTATGCGAGTGCCCGCGCGGATTCGAGGGGAAGGTCTGCGACGTGAACGTGGACGACTGCGTCGACGTGTTATGCCCTGACGGGAAAGTCTGCGTGGACGGTATCGCTGGTTACGAGTGCAAATGCCGCGAAGGTTACAGAGATCCTAACTGCACTCTTATCGTTGACCATTGCGCGACGAAGCCTTGTAACAGCGGCACGTGTATCGATCGCGGGGAGCACGGTTTCGAATGCAAGTGCAAAGATGGTTTCAAAGGTAAATTTTGTCGGACGAAGCTTGCATACGTGAGATATACTGTTCGCAGAAATTAGGGGATATCTCAGAATGGATATGATAAAAAAAAGGACAAACGACCAGTTGCTTTTCTGATGTTCTTCTTTGATAAAAAGGAATCGAATGCTCCTTCTTTTTTATCGCTTCATATTCATTTTTAAATATCCCCTAATTTTTGTGAACAGTGTGTATTCTTGTTAAGTTCGTTTATCACGTCATCACACTTAAAACGGTACACGCTATGATGTTTAATACATCTGAGAAATTTGTCTGTTTTTTTTTTCTGTTTCAGTACTGTGAATTTATTTTTGATATTTTCAAGTGTTTAAAAAATAATTCGTGTAACAAACAATAGTAATATGAAAAAGAGAATAATGAGGGAATAGAGTAGTGGAACAAAATTCATTCGCAAAACAATCACTCACAAAATTCAAGAAATTATACAGTAAATAATATTTATATCGACGTGTTTTGTTGAAGCACGGATGACATGAAAATCGTTTGTTAGGACAAACTCTAGTCACCCATTTTATAGTGTCCCGTGCAATGTTACCATTAACAGTTTTTACATTTTATAGCAAGAAATGCAACGATGCCTCTTTACTAGATTTCCATTACCTTTTCTTAATTCGTGTCGAAAAAAAAAAACTGACTGACATAACTTATTATGTACCAATATCGGCGTGAAGTGTTCCAAACATCATTACAGACCACATAAAAGTAATATCAGCAATCGTTATTTCATAATGAGAATAATATCATTTGGTGTAGAAATGATTTTCGTTCAGGGAACGTGTCGTATATAAATACATTCCTGTCAGATTCAATGAGAATTATGAACGTAGATTACATTGAAAAGACTGAACAAACACAGCTGTTTTTTTTATGGCACTAATCGATTGCTTGAACACACAGGGAAGTTTTGCGAGGAGGACGTGAACGAGTGCGAGGTAGAAGGCAGCTCGTTGTGTAACAACGGCATTTGCGTGAACACGGACGGCAGCTACAATTGCTTCTGCAGGCCAGGATTCTCCGGAGATCACTGCGACATCGATATCGACGAGTGCCTGTGCGGCCCGTGTAAAAACAACGCCACGTGTATCGACGGCATCAACACGTTCGAGTGCCAGTGCCCGCCCGGTTACTCCGGGAAAACGTGCGACATAGACGTGAACGAGTGCGAGAGTAATCCCTGTTTAAACGGCGCGACCTGCGTCGACGAGATCGCCAGCTACATATGCATTTGCTCGCCTGGTTTTCGCGGATTGAACTGCGAGATAAACATCGACGATTGCGAGCCATCGCCGTGCTTGAACCACGGCCAATGCATAGACGGTATAAACAACTATACCTGCGACTGCACCGACACCGGTTTCGAGGGAGCACACTGCGAGAAGAACATCGACGACTGCCGATCGGGACCGTGCGTGAACGGCGCTCACTGCGTGGACGACGTCAAGAATTACAAATGCCAGTGTTACGCCGGCTACACTGGCAAAAATTGCGAGGTGGACATAAACGAGTGCGACAGCTCGCCCTGCCAGTACAACGGCACTTGCTTGGAGAGATCGAACATGGAATTGTACAAGAGCGACGCGCTAACGTTGCCTTCGATATTTAACCAGGAGTTCAGTTACGCGAATGCGAGTGGGTAAGCGTGACGGTGATGTTTCTGATTTGACAAGACAAAAATATCTGAGAAATGATTGTAATTTAATCGTTCTTTTTTTTCTTTTTAGATACGAATGCCTTTGCGTGCAGGGTGTTACGGGGAAAAATTGCGAAGTAAATATCAACGAATGCGAGAGTAATCCGTGCCAAGCTGGAACCTGCGTGGATCGTATCGGTGGCTATACCTGCGAATGCGACGAGGGATACGAGGGCGATCATTGTCAACATGACATCGACGAGTGCAAGAGATACTCACCCTGCGAGCATGGTGTGTGCACCGATGGAAGAGCTGATTATACCTGCACGTGCGAGCCGGAATATGGGGGGAAAAATTGTTCGGTGGAGTTGATCGGTTGTCAAGGGAATGCTTGTCAAAACGGTGGTACATGTTGGCCGTATCTCGTCGACGAAGCGATACACAAATTCAACTGTACCTGCCCGAACGGTTATCACGGAGAGATTTGCGATTACGTAAGTTTCGTTGCGTACTTCCGTCGATTCTCTTTTCCTCGTTTTTCCTACGTGAGCTTGCGCGTTACTTAATTAAATCTGCCACTTGTTTAATTGAACTACACCTGTTGTATCTTGCACAAAAATACGCGACACAGAAGAAGGTGCGTAGATGAAAAAAGTCGCAATTTTTTTTTTTTTTAGCCCTCCTTTCTTATTTATACAATCCTCTTTCCTTCTTTCGTAGGTAACGACAATGTCTTTGAACGGTAACTCGTACGTCCTGGTGAATACCACTCGAGACGAAGGATACGACATACAATTTCGCTTTCGAACGACCCTGCCGAATGGATTACTCGCTATTGGAAAGGGCTCGACATTCTACATTCTCGAGCTCGTCAACGGCAAGTTGAACTTGCACTCGAGTCTTCTGAACAAGTGGGAGGGCGTGTTCATCGGCAGTAAATTAAACGATTCCACTTGGCAGAAAGTATTCGTAGCGATCAATGCCACGCATCTGGTACTCTCGGCTAACGAGGAACAAACAATCTATCCCATCAGTTTAAATGAAGGCTCGAACTCAAATCACACGTCGTTCCCAATGACGTACGTTGGTGGTACCACCAATTACCTTCGACGATTAACCCATGGCCCAGCTTTCTTCGTCGGTTGCACCGAGGATGTCGTTATCAACGGAGAGTGGGTACGTTCGATATCTTCTCATGAAAATTTTCATGAAACATTATTATTTGTTTTTATTGAATTTATTGTGAAAAATTTCCCAGGTATACTCTGGTACCTCGTCGAAAACCGTGTACATGGAGAATGTTGAACCAGGATGTCCACGCGAGGCCCAATGTTCACCAAATCGTTGTAAGAACGGTGGCCACTGCACAGACAGGTGGCGTGATTTTTCTTGCAAATGCGAGAGACCGTATCTCGGCCACACCTGTCAGTACAATATGACAGCAGCCACGTTCGGATACGAAAACATAACAAATGGATACGTGACCGTGAAAGTGTCCGACACGGCCAGGCGAGCGGTCAGATCGATCGTTGATATTTCCATGTTCATTCGCACGAGGCAGGACAGGGGCGATATATTTTATCTGGGCACAGAGCCAAATCCGCAGACGGATCTCAAGCCTCAAGAGAAGACTTACATAGCAGCTCAATTGGAAGGTGGCGAGTTGCTCGTTAGAATTCAGTTTAATGGCTCGGAAGCTTACACCGTCGGCGGTGTGAAATTGAACGACGGGAACAATCATCTGATACAGATAGTCCGAAACATAACGTTGGTGCAAGTGAAAATCAACGGTACCGAGTACTTCCGGAAAACTATCAGCGCATCCGGCCAGTTAAACGTAACTGTACTGTACTTGGGTGGTTTGCCACAAGCATCCAGATACATACGGCAAGTCGACAATCGTCAGATAGAAGTCTCGCAAACTCCACAAGTCAACTTCAAAGGAATTATTCAAGACGTTCAGATATCCAATGGCATCGAAACTATGGTAGTTGAATTCTTTCCCCTGAAGGTAAGGATTTCAATTCAATCCTAGAAGATTTCACTAAAAATTGAGTTACTACAATATAGTGACAATAATAAAATAATATAGTAATAGTAATGAAATTATCCATCATTTTTTTTTTTTTAGGCAAATGATATTCCCACTCCGATACAATTTGGCAACGTGACCTTCGACTACGACAAAATCCTGAAGGGTGTAGTATCCGATAATGTGTGCGTGAGTAATCCGTGCAATCACAACGGGACTTGTCACGTCACGTGGAACGATTTCTGGTGTCAGTGTCCACGAGGCTACACTGGCAAAACTTGCCAAGAAATGGAATTTTGTCAACTGCAGGACTGTCCCGCCGGATCAAAATGCCAGAATTTAGACGATGGTTACGAGTGCATAGCCAATGCCACTTTCAACGGGGTGACAACTTCTTTCACCTATGTCTATAATCAGGTTGAAGAGAAAAATGTTACGGATTCGACGATCGATACGATTCAAATTACGTATCGATCGAACACCGGTGGCACGTTAATGCATATCGCGCCTCGTATAGGCGATCAACATTTCATCGTTTCTGTTTACAAAGACAAGATCACGGTGTCTTGGCGTTTGGACTTGCAAAACCAAGGAATACTTACTTTCGGCAAAGCCGAACCTGACGGCAACTGGACGTCAATTGTATTGAGATTGAACAATAATTCCATGGAATGCGGGTACGCAAACTCCAACGAGGAATACGCGTCGCACGTTAGTCCAAATTTTAGTTTTCCCTTGTGGTACGATTTACTAATTACTGGAACGGTCACCCTCGGTGGACTTGGCTCTAGTTACGCAGCAATCGATCCTAGTAAACAAAGCTTGGAAAATAAAAGCGGTATTAATGAAAATTCGATAGATTTTACTGAACGTACTTTGACCACCGCTTCGCCACCTTACAACACAATGTCAGGTAATGCGTCAAATTGTTCGTTTTCTATTTTTTTTTTAATTATACATCTATCTTTCATATCTTTGTTTATTGATTATTGTAGGAGAGGCTTTCAAAGGATGCCTGGGTGAAGTAAGAATTGGGAGTATGCTTCTGCACTATTTCACATACGAAGAGGTGTACCAGAACGCCAATTTTACACCTTTGGAATACCTGGCGTTGCACGAGAATAATTCAACGTACCACGATGTTATTGGCTGTCAACTTTGCTTCGACACCGAGTGCAAAAATGACGGCTACTGTCTCGACCAAGCAACCAGTTACATCTGTGAATGTCCGCCGGGGTATACAAAAGACGATTGTTCCGTTAACATCGATGAATGCATTGATAATAAATGTAAAAATGGAGCAACGTGCATCGATGGAATTGCTAATTACACATGTGTGTGCAACAGCGGTTGGCAGGGATGGTTGTTAGTATATAACACAATATATTATATTAAATGTATATTTACGCTATCGTATATGTGTTTGTCAATTATATATATTTATTTCAGATGCGACAGCGACATAAATGAGTGCGTAACGCTTAGCCCTTGTCAGCATGATGGCGTATGCTTAAATCTTCCTGGCTACTTCCGCTGTGAATGCCCCGATCAATTTACTGGCGAGCGATGTGAAAACTTCCGTCTGATCACTTGTGAAAATCAACCTTGCAAGAACGGTGGCAGTTGCACGGATATTGTGAATTCACAAACTGGTGATAATTTCACTTGTACTTGTATGACTGGTTACGAAGGTTCTATCTGTGATACTCCTTACTGCATCGCACAAAAATGCCAGAATGGTGGCAGATGTGATTACTTACACCAGGTATGCATACAATTCGATTGACAATGCGAGGAGTTTCATTTGATCTTAATAATTACATCTGCAATAACTTGTTACTTCAAACTGCTAGACACCACGGTGCACTTGTCTGCCCGGCTATTCCGGATTATATTGCGAAATTAATATCGATGACTGCGCGCCGGATGCAGAGGGAAATGTACCGTGTAAAAATGATGGAAAGTGCTATGATGGTGTGGACAGTTTCACATGCGATTGTAACGATACCGGTTACACTGGATATGATTGTTCGATCGATATAGACGAATGCGAAATGAAAACGACGGATTGTGGTCAAGGACGGTGTGAAAATTTGCCAGGAACTTATCAATGTATCTGTGAGCCAGGTTACTGCGGGTACAATTGTGGAATGCTGGATCCCTGTCGAGCGGTATTATTTCTCAGACAATTTTTCTTATTCGATACATTGGTATACATGTTTCTTATGTCTTATGATCTTTAGGATTATTGTCAAAACGGAGGTACGTGTAAATGTGGAGACGACGGCGGTTACAGGTGTCAGTGCACACAAGATTACACTGGACAAAATTGTACAGAGGTATGTTCCGATATTCTAACATAATTTGTCTTGATGATCAATTATACACTTATAAATTTTGTCTTACATTTTAGACGGAGAACTTTTTGAGTAGTCAAGCACTTGACATAGCAGTGATCGTTGGTCCTATAGTTGGTTGTCTGTTCATTATTGCGGCCGGCTCTTTAATCGCGTTATTCATGATGGCTAGAAAGAAACGAGCTACTCGAGGAACGTACAGTCCAAGTGCTCAAGAATTCAGTAACCCGCGTGTAGAAATGGACAATGTGATGAAACCACCACCGGAGGAAAGATTAATCTAAGAACACATTTCGTAGGCATATATTACGAAGGAACAGAATATAGATGTTCCGTGTCTTAAAAAATCCTAGTCTGCCAGGAATATGCATCGTTGTTGGTCGCAGTGTTAGCGGATATTAAAGAGAAAAAAATCCAAGGGCTCGTTTTCTCGGCAAAACTGCTTCAAAACGGTCAATGAAAATATACGAGATTTCATCGCGCGTCTTCTAGTCCATGCTACTTTACCACGCAACTATCACATTGACATAAGGAGTTCAATGAGCAATTTGGAACATAATAGTCGAATTTAAGATACCTGAAAGCAACGCTGAGGATGAAATGTATCAAAACTGCCCATGAAATTTAAAGTTGACTGTAAGATAAAAACGAAAGTGGAATATACAACAAAAGAATTGAAAGAAAAAAAATTGATCGCAAACAGTGAGATGAAGAATTCGTTATAAAATTTATACATTAATCGTGCTGTTAATTCGAACAAATCATATACAAAGTGTACTTAAAATTTCATTAAGTGTCCTTAACTTGATAAGCAATACTCGAAAAAAATCTCCTAAGAAACGAAACCCGTCCATTTTAGTGCCTAATTAATCCTACTTAAAAGCTTTTATTTATAAGCGATAAATTTGAAACATCGAAGAAATGTATATTGCAAGTATGTTACATCGAGATCTCTAAAGCATAATGATATTCATTATTAACGTCTTATTTGTTAGACTTTGGGTAATCATGATACAGATATTAATACAACATAGTGATATTATGATCTATCGCAAAGGACGTTATTGCTGGTACTTTGTAAAAATATTGTAAAGCAATACTGTTTACAGATTGGTGGAACCCTTTACGCGATTTTGTCCCCTTCCACGCGTTATCGTTAGAGAAAAGAGAAATTAGCACTAAGTGATTAAGAAATCTCTGTATAAAATAATATTTCTCTTTTTCTACCTCGCTCTTAGAACAAAAGAACGATACGTGGGAGTAAAGAGAAAAACTAATTTGTTCGCCAAAAAGGCTTGGACTTCATTGCTATAAAGGGTATTTATCACATTGCGTGTCTACTAATGCACGTGTATTTACAGGCTTGTTCAAGCTGGTTCATTTTGTACATAGATTAGATTACGTTGCAAAAAAAAAAAAAAAAAATTAATGACTATTCTATCATTAACATTTTACATTATGAATATAGTATTTAATGATGAATTATTTTGTATGTAATTACTTAATACCACGACCAAAGTAATAGCGAACAATCTTCTTGTCCATTAAAGTATAAATGATATATACGTATCATCGCTTCTTCAATAGTCGAGAATAATTATACAGAAATGAGAGTTGACATATTGTTGGTACGATGATTTCATGACCAAGATTACTATCTTTCTGTCTTGTAGGATCGAAATTGAACTAATTGCAAAATAATAAACATGCTCGTTTTAAGCATCGTAGTATGTGGATGATATCAATCAAAAACACAATTATGTTTATAGTTTATATTTGAAACGATAAGAGTAATCGTATTATATTTTATTATAAGTTATGGAAAGTAATTTTTGTCCAATGTGTATTATAAAGTGAATATCATTAATGTTTTTTGCAAGACTGAAATTTTGGGTACTAAGAGATACGTACGTGTGCATGCGCTTTTCACGTGAGTACTTATTTTGTGACAACACGCAATATTATGCATAAATAATTATTACAATTTGAACTAAATGTACAAAAACAATAAAAATCTAAACATTTCAACATAGTATTTATTTCTTTTTTTTGTAAAATACGTGTCAAAGTATTAAAGGTGTATAAAGGTCATAAATTTATATAATTTTTATAATAAATAAAAAACATATTACTATATATGTACATGTATTATTTAAGAGTAAAAAATTACTTAACCCGGAGTTAACGACGTGGTAATCCCAGGTTAAAATTCTCAGGTACATTTTTGAGAGATTTCAAGGTAATCAAAAATTTTCATTCAATGAAATCTCTTTTTAAAATTAATTTCCATATAAAATTCTGCTAAAACAAAATATTCTATCTATTTCAAGTTGTCTTGATATCGTAACTATTTAACTACCTTCCCATTGATTTTATTTAATTTATCGCGTGCGATCTTATCAAAAAATAAAAGTCCAGCAGCGCGTTCTATACTTTCTGGTGGTACCTGTTGTGATATATTTATTATGATTAGTTTTAGGGCATATAATAAAATCTTGATTCTAATACTGATGATTTACCTGGAAATTTGTTAGAGGTGCATTATCATCTATTGGAGTATTTGGCATTACAAATGCTTCCATTTCTAACTTTGAATCGTGCGTTTCACCAACGACTATCTTATAAAAATGTGTAGGCACAGCCACATGATTTGTACCAATAACTTCATATCGAACATACTTCTTGCCATTAGCTTCTACTCTGTAATAATTGTATATTTAGTACATCATTCAAGAAAACAGATCGCGTGAAATAACAAAATGCATCTCACTTTGGTAAATACAAAGGACCGGTACAAACATACACGTCCTTATAAACTTTAGTCAAATGCCTGACGTATTTTTCCAGTCTGTTCCAAGAATCTCTGTTGAATCCCACACCCACTTGCGGTGCCATGTTTGTCAGGAAGAATGTCTGATCTATGTGACTTTGAGCACACTTGTGATTTCCAGCAGCTGCCAAATGTCCACGATCATATCCGCTGCCTTTGTAATCGCTGTTCTCTGATCTGATTGTTAATTAAATTATTGAAATGATTCAAAAATACCAAGTCGATTAAAAACTACAGACATTTACCTAAAGAAGGGATGTATACTTGGATCAGATTTAAATTCGCACTTGCTACGTGATATCTCGTTATTGGGTTGTAATTTATCTTTGTTTAAATGTTCAAAGACCCAATTTGCTACCCTGTTTCTTCTGTCGTATGAAAGAACAAAATCTTCGTAGGATCTGACATGATCCAATCCGGGAAAACCGAATTTCATAATCTAGAGAATACAAAAATTATTTTATCACATTATTTTGTAGTATTTTATAGTATTTCATCATTCTTTTTTCATTTATCCTACAGAATTTTTGGTGAAACTTTTGACACGGTTTTTCATTAATAAGGTTAAGCGCGATTTGAATAACTTACTTCGGCCACTCTAGTACTCGTTGTCGATAATTTTGAACCCATATTCGTATCAACCTGTACGGGAACCGCTGCAGAAACGGTTCCAAATAGGGGTAAACCGGGCATTTTTTTAATGTTTACATTCGAGATAATATTAGTTCCACTGTCTCTTATTTCTGCATTCAAATGTCGTTGCTGTTCTGAGTATCTTCCCAGACACCAACCACTAAATCCTATGGTGGTCGCAGCACTCAGTTTCAAAATAACTCGCGTCACCGTTCCCATCGTACGTTTAGTCATTTTGCTGTCAAGCAATTCTTCTGCGACTATAACCTCTTATTGGTTACATAACTGCGCCATATGTATGTTCAAACACATTGCCGACAATCACGTTACGACAGTGTGTCAGCATGCGAAGCTTTATATAATTTTACATATAAAATCATTGATAAGATAAATCTTAAGATATATGATAATTCATTTCATAGTTTTTTAAATAAAATTTACAGACGATTTGTCCGATACATCCGCAAAACCCGCGGCTTTTCTGTACGAAATATATTACCAGTAATAGTTTTAAAATAATAGTCATAAAAAAAAATTAATATATCATATCATGTATCATGTTATAAATTATTGCTCTCAATTGGTCTTTTCGTAAATAAAAATTTCAAAAATGAAAATTCATAGACATTGAAATGCTAGCGCCGCGGTGGAATGATGGAACTAAAATCTATTGCTATCCTTGTTGCAACAAGAACAATAGATTTTAGTTCCATCATTTCACCGCGACGTAGCACTGGTATCCATTAATTTAGGAAATTTTTATTTGTGAAAATAACTTGATTGAGAAAATTAATTCATGGATTTCTGTAATTGCAGTTTCATTCTCAAACGCTAAGCTTTCTTTCCATATTCCAGTTGACGTGGCAAAAATGCATGAATAACAAATTTGAAATTTTTTTTCAGTGAATTAGACAAGGAGAGGGAAGTTCAACAGATGGCAGCACCTGTTTTATTTGTAAACAAGGACACCAACTTTAATTCCACAGTGCCATAGTTTCACTGCAGCGCTAGCACTTCAACGTCCACAAAGTAAGTAAATTTTCATTTGCGAAAAAAAACTAATTAGGAAAATTAATTTGCAAACTTTCACATCTGTTTGTGAAACTTAAACTTTCTTTCTATATAGTTCATTTGTCCTATAAAACGCGAAAATGTGCAAAAATTTGCAAATTGTATTCAATAGCTGGAAACTTGAATTTGAAATTGAATCAGAATTGTTGCACGATATACATTTGAAAGAAATATACGTATGAAAATGATACCTTTTTAAACTAATCGTGACAGAAGTGTTTAGTATTTTTTTAAAAATCGAATCAAGTCGTGTCTTGAGCCATTTTCAGCGGGAAAATTTGAAATAATCTTCTCTTTCAGCGATTGAAAATTTATCGTGAGATTTCGCATTTTGCTAGATTATCGCGAAAGCCACGAAAAATGAATCGGCGTGTCTACCATTCGATTGAAATTGAAGTAGTTCGAAAGAAACATTGGAAACAACATATCGTAAAACATCGTAGATGTTTCAGGAAATGTGGAAACAATCATTGAACAAATAATATACTTTATTTTGTATATTGATTACAGCCATTCGGCCATGTTACAACCTACCAACAGTAATGTTAAAATTTCAATCTTTTTTTTTCCAATTTTTTTCAATTTTTTTTACAATTTGTTTTCTTTTTCGGTATATTCGAGCAAGACCTATGGTGGAAAATGAGTGCCGCGTTGCGTCAGTCGTGCGGACCTACTGAGATACGGTGTTCCAAAAAAAAAAAAAAAAAAAAATTGAAACAAACTTCGTCTAACAGTTTTAATGAGCGAGACTAGATCGAGGAGCAGTCTTACGCAGTAAAACAAAAACATCTCAATAACTTGGAAAAACGTTTCGCTAGATCGTCTCAAATCTCTCAAAGAATCGAATTCCGTTAAAAACTCTGACAAGCACGCTACGGTGCAAAACGCGAATTCTCGCATTTTGCAGTTTTATTTTATTTTATTTTATTTTATTTTATTTTTTTTAATCGACTAACCGTTTTCGACGAAAGTACTTCGAAAGCACTTCGAAACCGTTTTACGAGACGAAGGAGGAATACTCTAGACTCAAAATTGTAAACCTAATCTGTCTTTATTTATTTATTTTTTTTCTTTTTCTTTTCTTCTTTGTATCGTTACGCTAGACTCTATGAAAACAAGTCTGAACTTCTGTACGTGCTTAAATAGAATTCAAAAAACTTTGATAACTCGAATACTGGGAATTCTACGTAACAAAGAAGCGGCCGTCGTCGTTCCCATCTTCTTCTTCTTCTTCTTCTTCTTCTTCTTCTTCTTCTTGTCTGCGTTCGTCGCGGAGGTCGAACAGAGAATGCCCCTACGGTTTAAGAGGAATTTGTTCGCCTTCGACTGCGCAACTTCCAAAATCGCCTGTCCCTGGACGTATGATGAATAGAAATAGTGTTTTGTGCTTTGGATCCTTTCTCGGGCATGTACATTCTCAGTAGTCTCGCGGCGCGTTCCTCCTGCGACCTGTCCGCAGCCTTTCCGCTCAGGAAGCTGAGCAGCTTCATGCTGCGACGTTTTATTCTCAACCGGTTCAAGAAATTCTTCTCGCTTGTTCTGGACGGGCTGCTGTCGTTCTGATCGTCCGAGTCCTCCTCCAACCTGCTCGTCTTCCGTTGGAACAGCTCCATCCGCTTTCTCCTTTGTTCTTGTTGCGCGTCGCCTCTTCGACCGTATCGGCTTCTCCTCGTGTCGCCGAGCTCCGGCCCCAGATATCCTTCGCCTCTCTTCGCCTCGGCGTTTCTGCTCTCCCTGGTCTCCTCCGCTCGTCGCGCCACCGATTCCAGCTCCCTCAGGCGTTCCGCTTCCTTCGACGCGCCGTCGGCCACGCAGGTGTCCTCGACGTCCGACAACTTTCTGTGAAGGTTCACTATCTTCCTGCGGAACTCCTCGTCCTCCTGGCTCAGTCTCGCGAATATACGATCCCTCTCGTTCCCGGAATCGGAACTCGTGCCGACGTTCTTCGACGCCGCCGTTTGAAACCGCTGTCACCACCACCCGACCTGGTCCTTCGCGCTCCCCGACGTGTCCTCCTCTTCCGGCAGCGGCTCCAGCCTCTGCCTGCCCAGGAAACACCGCAACGAGCTGAGGCTACCGCTGCCGAGCAGCTGGTCCATGTTCAGCTCCGACAGGTTGCAATCGTCGTTCTCCGACTCCTGGTCGGCCTCGTCCTCCGCCGACAGGTTCAGCCCGTAGTTATCCTCGCCGAACGTGACGACGTTGCCCGAGCCGATGGGCGGCGGCTAGGGAAGTCAGGCACAGTTCGGGCTAGTGATTCTTTGCAAACAAAAGGGCAAGCAGATTGTCATGCAGATGCGTGCGAAGCTTACCAACTAATAGTCTGTCTCTTACTGACAATTAGATAGAAGAGATCTCTCTCTCTCTCTCTTTTTTTTTTATCATAGATTGTACACGTTATAGCCTCGCCGAGTTCCTCGCTCGATCGTCGTAGTTGAGGATACCCGGCGAAGGATATTTTAATCACTTTGGACTTTAAATCGCCAACATGACGGTACTTTTGCTTTCACTGTGGTATGCGGCAAGCTTTCTTCACAACAGGCGTGAGATCGTTTTAAAGAAAGAAGCGAAGCTGCCGTGCGCGCGCGAAGCAACTGTCGATCACTCGTGTTCGTGTTCGTAGCGATACCCTCGAGTTTAGCTATATCAGTGTACATCCGTCCCTCCATTTAAACAATACCGCTTTTTCCACGCGAGTCTCCTTTTAAATTGTAACTCTGTTCACGCGGTATATCAATTTACAACGATGCTCATCGAAACGTTCAACGAGCCTTAAAATTTAAAGAAATCCTGCAGCGAATATCAGCAAATTTATGAAAACTTGGCAAAAGATAACCATCATTCGAAAAGATTAACATTGACAATGAAAGTGAAGTCGAACTCGCAAATATTTCAAGCGACGAAGGGTAATGAGTTTGTGCCGATTAAAATGGTTTTGAATAATACAAATAGCGATACTGATACACCGAATAAAATTTACTTTTGTATTATTATTATTTGTTCCCTTTTTTTTTTTGTTAACCTACGAGAAATAAATATGTATTTCTATACATATTTATGAACTTATAATATTTTATATAATAATTTCATTTTATTTTATAATAATTTTATATTATAAAATATATAATATAATATATATAATAATTTTATATATATTTATATTTTTATATTTTATATATTTACATATTTGTATTAAATATAAATATATAAAATATATAATAATTTTATAATGTAAAATTATAATATTATTATTATAATAATATTTACAAACCTATACCAGCGTTTCTTTCCAATATTTTCTTTCTCTTTTGTACAGACAGGCTCTATTTACGCGATTTTCACTCGCTTAAAACTCCACGTGGATTATTCTGCGCAAATGGAGGGACGAGTGTATTTATCGTGAGACAGCGTGTGGTCATTACCGAGCTCGCGGTGAAGCTCTCGTCGTCGGGGCCGCCGGAGGTCGGTGTCCCCCAGATGTCGTCGCCCGAGGTAGCACCGGACGTCGTTCCCTCCTCGTCGTTCGGATCCAACGAGAATTCCGTTCTCTCGGGCGGGACCGGCGACTGAAGAAGATATCCACCAATGCCCTCGCCAAGCTGCTCCAACAACGCCGACCTTTTGCTGACCATGTAACTGCTCGCCCGAGCGGTCCACGCTCTCAAACCCGTCGGCGGAGACTCGGTGTCCCGATTGTCGTCGTCACCCTGCTCCTCGAGCTCGTCGTCCTGATCCAGGCTGCTCACCGTGCCGAATCTTCTCAAAACTCTGAAATAACGGTATTATTCATTATTAGGTCGAGTATTCTCGCTTGTTCCAGTTTGATTCTATTTGTATTTGTATTATACAAGGTGTTTCGTAACTTGTGGGAGCTGATTGTACGCCTAAAAATAATGAAAAAAATGTCCTATCTGTCTTCGTTTATGAGATATAATGAATTTTCTGTTTGTAATTACTTTTACAAAAGATGCTCGAAATGACCACCTTGCATTTGAAGACAAGCCTGCACGAGTCTTGTCATTCATCTGGTTACTCTCTCTATCATTCCTGGTGTTTCTCGAATTTGTCGGAAGCCTTGCTCTATTCTATTTCAGCATGTTCAATCCATGTTGCGTGTACAATAGATTTTAAATGTCCCCACAAATGAAAATCTAATGGATTCAAATCCGGACAACGAGCAGGCCATGCAACAGGACCTATCCACGACCGATCCATTTATTTGCAAAGTGTTGATTGAAAAATTGCCTAGCCACTCGGCTAAAATGCGGCGGAGCTCCATCNTCATCCCAATTATGATTATTATGAAAATTGAATATACCATCCCTGGTAAAACTAGCTTACTAGAGTTTGCTCTGTTTATAAATTTCGTTATATCTCATAAACGAAGACAGATAGGACATATATATTCATATGACTTTTTTCATTATTTTTTAGGCGTACAATCAGTTCCCGAATTGGGTCCCACAAGTTACGAAATGCCCTGTTTACTGCTCACAAAAATTAGGGGATGTTTCAAAACGAACGTGATAGAAAAAGGCAAACAACCAGTTGCTTTTCTGATGTTCTTGTTTGATAAAAAAAAAAAAAAAAAAAATCAAAAGCTCCTTGTTTTTCGTCGCTTCATATTCATTTTGAAATATCCCCTCATTTTCGTGGGCAGTGTATCTTACCTGTACGGTGGTTCACCGTCGCAGTCGAGATCGTCCTCGCTGCCATCTTCCGTGTTGCCATCGGCCGGAGTGTAAGCTGGACTGTTCCTTCCAGGACTGTCGTGCAACCCGTTTCTGAGTCGATGCCTGGTGCACAAGTCTGGCGTTGGTGGCACTACCGAGATCTTTGGAGGTAACGGAGAAAACGGATCTCTCGTCAGAGGCGGTGTCGGGCAACCTGACCTGCAATTACATTATAGGCTCGTTAATGGATGTTTCATTTACCTCTTCGTTGTCTGATCTCCCTTCTAGAAAGTAATCGAGAAAGAATACAGCATAGATTCTTGCGTTTTGTTGCTCGCAAGTTTGGGAGACCTCAACGATCATAATTACATCTCAGATGCATTTTCAGAAAACTCTGGAAAATAGGCATCGAATTTCTATAATAATATAATAATAACATATATATCGCTATAATATAATATAAATATATAAATATATCTTAGGAATTTTCCTCTCTCTAGATCCAGAACTTACAAAAAAATCAAACTCGAGAAGATTTCCAATATAGCTAACAATCTCAGGTTGTATGTAAAATGCATGAAACGATGCTCTTTTGTAAATACGGTATATGAATATTGATTCCTTTGCATTTACATTTTCATCGTTGTTATCTTCCTTCCTTCAACGGATATATTTCCCGTTTAAATAAATAAATAAATTCTTTTATTTTCCAGTTATATTGCCACGTTACCTGTGACACCTTCTGCAAATGTTGATGGAACTGGTGGAGTTCTCCTTGGAAGACGCGAGGCTGCCGTTCTTCTTCGCGTTCACGCTGTTGGATTTCACGGTGCTGAGGCTCGCGCTCGACGCTGTGCTCTGCTGTTCCACGTCCGAACTGATCATCTCCGTCGCAACGTCGTCCGTTATCGCGTGTCGTTCACGGTTCGCCTCGTTGCCGGTTTCTCGCGGCACTCGTGCCGCCAGATCCTCGGCCGTCCACTCCTCGATAGGCACCTCCTCGTGATCCGGTGGCGGGATCTGGTGAGAATTGCGCACCCACTGCGCCAGATGATTGTCTCCCGTCGAACTTTTAACGATACTGTCGATACTCTCGACGGAGCGCGATCCCTTCTCCTCGTCCTGTTTCTGCGACTCCCTGGTGGTCTGTCGAAAATAAAAGCATCGATAAACAACAGACTCTCTCTCTCTCTCTCTCTCTCGAGGTCGAGAATTCTTCAAGATTGACTCACTTGCGAACTTTCCGTCGATTCTCTAATCGCGGCGGTGGTGAAATTGCTACCGGTGATGGGACTTTCTTCAGGACTGTCCTGACTCGGTGTTCCACCATAGCCTGTATTTACATAGATTCTAAAATACAACGTGCATTAGTACAGACAGGCGAGTCGACCGAATGTCAGTAAGAACAGTCCGAGTCCCGTCGAGCTCTGAACTTGGTACGTCAAACAGCGAGCAAGCATCTCTGTCGCCTCGAAATCCATACCGGATCAGAATTCCTCGAAACTACAGCGCGTCGTAATACGTATTATGTACTACGTGGTAAAGCAGCTTACATTTGTCGCTGAAGGAGATTGTGCCAGACGGCCTTCAGTTCCGGTGTTGGTGCACGCAGAACCAAAACGCGCCTCCGCGGACGACTGTGAGGGCTGCAACCACCGCTGTTCGTCACCTCAACGTGGCCGTTCTCCGAGTTGCCGGAAGGGTTGATGGCGATTTGCAGTCGGAACTCCGTGGGTCGTTTACGAACGGTGAAACAGGCCTCGGCAATGTTCGACAGCCGCAGAGGCTCCTCGGTTACGAACAGGACGCGGTCTCGGGAAACTCGAGCGAACACGAGCAAATCGGTGAGAAGCAACGCCCACGAGGGTTGCAGCCGCGCTCGGCCCTCCACCTTTGCCAGCGCGCCTCCGAATAACCTGCAACGACGCGAGTTGATCGAAACATGCCAGTCGCGGTCGTTTTTGTTCCTTTTTAACATCTCAGTGAATGACGAGTATACTGAAGGAATGGCAATTCTTTTTTTTTTTTTTTCTTTTTTGGTAATTATAATTTGTTACTTGAATTAAACTTCTCGTGGAAAGTGAAACGTATTTGTAAATCTCGGACATATTAGAATATTTTAACTAGTTCTTTTCTTCATTTCAAAATAGTTTCTTGCTATTAACACTAAACGTACCGGGACTTTAGATATATCTCCCGATTATGTTAATTGTCAATTTAATATAAGAAACGATGCACAAAATAACTTTTAGATAATAGGGAGGGAGGAGAAAGTAATTATATATTTTCATTCTTTTTTAACTTGAGTCAATTGAAAGAAGAGAAATAACAATGTATGCAGAATTTTAATTCACATTTTTCCAACCGGACGTTGTAGTGTTAATATTGATTTAGTTGAACAACAAAATTATTGATGTTACAAGAAAAGGAGATACTGAGTGTTACATCTCCTTGTAATTTCATTCGACTTTATAATTAACAGTTGCAACATGCTCTGAGTTTGACAGGTATAATCGTCATTTAGCGACATGGCGTAGAAAAAAAAAAAACATTTTTAAAAGCGTTAATTGCTTTAAATTTTCAATTCTTTCAGGACGCACCATTGTCTGCCGGGCATGGCGAGCGTGAACGGTTTACATCTGGCGAAAACCAGACGGGACTCAACTTCCTGAAGGCTGAGTAGAGGCTTGCCGGTGTCGCGCGGTGGTTCCATCACGCCGGCGTTCGCGGTCGCTTCCCGGTATCCCTGAGCTAGGTCTCTGGCTTGCTGGCAGTTCCTCGGCGACGCCAGGCACAACAGTCTCGTCATCTCTCTGAAAGAAACGTCGCGCGTGTTCACGCAGACGGGCGTGCGCGGACGATGGAAAAATCCGGCAAGAGAGGAGAGAAGAAGTAACGAGAACGAACCTATAGTGCTCCAGAGGTAAGAGCAAGACACCCGTCAGATCGGGTCGCCTCTTGTGCGGCACAGCGGGCTCGCAGACGAGCTTCGCGAACGCCGTGTTTCGCCTGAGCGCGACCAGCAGGCAACACGCGCGTTGCAGCCCGCTCAGGTATCTTCTGTAGGCAGCGGTGATTCTCGGCACTCTGCACAGGTAACTCTCGACCCCGCCGCCCTCGTCGCGGATCTCCTCGGAGATCTTGAGCAGCTCGTCGAGATTTTGGAAGAGGATCAGATAGTCAGCCGCGGAGAGGACGTCGCGTCTCTCGGCCAGAGGCGCCAGGAAACGCGTGTGACCGCTTTTCAGGATGCCCCAGTACCGCGTCTCGCGCACGGACAGCTCCTCTTCCGGCGGCGCGTCCGGGGCGAGGTTCGGAAACACCTGAATGGCGCGTTCAAATCATGGCAGAAGCCGTGCCATTCACCCGTATTGAAAAATTCGACAGAGAGAAAGAGAGAGAGAGAGAGAGAGAGAGAGAGAGACTCGTGTGCGGCGTCGCATGCAGAAAATAAGGTAAGATGGTCATTGTCGTTTGTTCCGGTGTGCATGCTCTGCAAGCTGAGCTCTACGTATTCGTTTCAGGCTCCGGGATGGTTGCGCGCGACGCAACACGCGACTTGTCGTTGGCATCGATGGGGGGGGGGGGCACAGGGTTGCAATAAATAAACGAAATGCGAGAGATGCTTTTAAACAGAACTTGTTGAGCAACAAAAAGGAAAAAAAGAAAAGACAACATGGTCCAAGTTACATAATAAAACATAACTGCATCATAACTTAACCGTGTCCAGCGGCAAAGAAAAAAAAAAAAATTGGACACGCGCTATACACTACGCTCGCTGAGGAGTAAGTTACAAGATAATCACCGGGGAAAGGAACAATGTACACAGAGAAGTATCGCGCGACACAACGTGCAACGTTGCAAAAAACACAGAAATATAAGCTCTAAAGACGCATGCAAGACGACGCGCTTGCGAGACGACTCTTGGTTCAGAGACGCGGGTGACGTCCGATCGACTCGAATTTAAAAAATTCGAAAAACTTCGACGCAAGAAACGACGCTTCGTTTCATTTAATCATTAAACTAGCACGCAAAACAATTTTTCGTTCTCGTCGAATGAGAATGGACGAATGTGAGGCGGTACACGAAGTACGAGAAAGTAAAACTGATCAAGCGATCGGTCACGATTCGAAACCAAAGCCTCTCCGTCCGCGCGAATCGCTCCTACGATCGCCCGGACGAACGAACGAACGAACGAAGCAACTTCGACGCGAGTTTGCTAGATTCAGACTAGGACGCCTGTACCGACCTCGGCGTTGAACGCAACCGCGTGGTGCCCGACGCCGATCGACTGCTGCAGGCTAACGTTCATCGAGTTAGGCCGGTGCATCGACGAGTGAACGTTCCCCTTGCGGTAAACCTCCAGGATTAGTTGGTTCGTGGCCGCCTGGATCAGTCCGAGGATCTCCTCCCGCGACCGCGTCACCACGTTCGTCATGTCGACGAAGACCACGTGATCACCTGGCCTCAAGCCGGATCGTTCCGCCGGGCTGCCTGGGTCCACGCGTTCCACGCGGGGTGGCCTTCCCCACGACAGCGAGAATCCCCATGGAATCTACACGAATTGGATGGAAGGAACGTTCAGTTAACAGCGTCGGAGAAATGTCAGACAGGTAGAGAGAAGTAATAACGGTTCATAGGAAATGTCGAGGGACGGGAGGGGCACAATGGAGAAATGTTACGACGGTGCACGACACGAGACTCGTTTCGTTAACGCCACCGACAAAGCAACCTTTCAGGGAAGGCCTGCTTAAACGACTGCGATCGGACTTGTCGCAAGTGGACCCCTGCGACTCTGTCGGGGCAATTGCGCGAAAACAATTACGACGTGCACGTGGATCGAAAGAAAGACGCACGATACACGTATATATATATTTTTCACGAAAGGAAAATTTTTTTTTTAGAGAAATGGCGTCCACGTTCTTATTAAACACATTATATATATATAGCAAAAGTTTTTAAATATAATATAAAAGAATAATAAAATATATAAAAAAATAATGTAAAAGAATATCTTTTTCTCAGAGAAATGGCGCCCATGTTCTTATTAAACACACACTATATATATATATATATATATATTATATATATTATATATATATATATATATATATTATATTATATTATATTATATTATATATAGTGTGTGTTTAATAAGAACATGGGCGCCATTTCTCTGAGAAAAAGATATTCTTTTACATTATTTTTTATACTATACACTATATATATATAATGTGTTTATATATATATATATTATATATAGTGTGTTTATATATATAAACGTACATACATACATATATAAATATATACATTTATATAGTGTGTGTCTATATATACATATAGTATGTGTTTAATAAGAACATGAACGCCATTTCTCTGAAAAAAGATATTCTTTCACATTATTTTTTTTACGTATTATTCTTTTATATTATCTGTAAAAAATATTGCTCAGATTGAAAGTACTATTACACTTTCGATTAATGTGTGTCTTTTCACGAGACGCTAGCTTTAAGCTAAAGACGTAGCTTAAGACAATCTGTCCTTCTATGCTTCACGGTTGACCAAACATTTTCAAATCCTATCAAACGAGCCTGGTCTGTCCATGGAAATCCAATTGTCCAGAGAACTGTCAAAACTGTCCAATAAAAGTGCTTTAACGTTCGCGGATTTGGGGGCTTTACAAACAATTGAGACGCTCGGACGGCGATCAAATTTTATAAACAAGTACTTTCCAAAATCACTGAAACTTAAAACACTGGTTTAACAATAACGATAAAGAGCGTTTGCACGCGTTTGGAAGAAACGATATCAGCGTGTTGGATTGATTGTCACAGTCCGCCGATGCCAACCCAATTGAAAATGTTTGGTCGATCACGAAGCTACTATAGACTACACGTGTCTTGATAAAGAAAAACGCCGAGAATCGTCGAGTTCGAGAAATATGGAGGTCTTTACCTGTCTCGTCGCTAGCGGTGGAGATTGGACGCACTATTAATCGAGCGCGTAATGGTACTTTAGGTGTACTCTCGACTCGTGTAACAAATTTTTCACAAACAGAATAACTTTTTGAGGAATGGCGTTGTCCACGTGAGCACAGCACAACGAAAGTAACGAAAGTGAGAAACGACTCGCCTGATTAGCTGCAGTCTGCCTTGTCAGTCTCCTCGTGACGGTGCATGGTGTTCTGCCACCCCTGGCTGTGAAACCCGGATGCAGAGGCAGGCCGGTCAGAGGATCGATAGGCTCTAATTCGAGATGCCTCAAATACGTCAGGTCTTCCGCTCCTGAATTATTATTATCTGGCTCTCCGTCCTTCGACAGGGGTGGCGAGACTCCACAGTCTTGCGGCAGGCCGGCGTACGGGTTGCTCGTGTTCCGACCGGTTCCTGCTTCTAGCGGATGCCATGTCGCTTCCTGAAAATTGACGATTGCTCAGCGGACCGTGGAATTGTCGGATGTTCGATCGTCGCCGAGAGTTTTGCCAATCTCTACCGTGAACACCGACACGGCGTTAACTCGCGACAGAACCTTCCCACCGACTTTTATTATCAGTTCTCTCTTTCTCTCTCTCTCTCTCTCTCTCTTTCTCTCTCTCTAACGTTGAAACGCGAACCGTTCAAATCGAAAAACCGTCGTTTGACTTCACCGACTGAATTGAACGAGGCGGCTCGCGGCTCAACAGAACATGAATATTTTCAACAAGACTCCGACCACGAAGAACACCACGCAGTAAATGGCCACCACGATCATCTCTCGCCTCGCTTGCGTTGCGCGAACGACGCCGAACGAACGATCCCGAGATCGAGTTACCGACGATATATTTCGTCGCGTGGCACCTGCCACCTGCCACCTTTAACGAGGTCAAAGCGCAAGTGAATCTTCCTCGCCGGGTAACGTTCCACTTGCTTACTCTCTCTCTCTCTCTCTCTCTCTCTCTCTCTCTCTCTCTCTCTCTCTCTCTCTCT